TGTATCTACATTATATTTATCGTTATTTTTAAAAATGTCGTGTATCTCGAGGAAAGAAATGGTGCCGGCCGGCGCGATGAAACATTTTCTAAAATGACTTAAATGACAAAAAAATCTTTCAATTCGCCTCCTTTTCTCGATGCGGAAAGTAATTTAATTCAGCTTGTGTTTTCTCCGTACGTCACAGATTTCGGGAACACCCTTTAGAGGTTTTCCTTGTTACGATGTCGATGGCGTGATTATACGTTTTATAAATACAGAACGACAGACGTTCCTACTAGTTGCTCCGACATCGAAAGCACGACGGCAGGATAATTGATAGCGGAATGCTAATAACTCGTACGAGGCAGGCATTATAATAAGTTTTTTGCCGGGCGTGTGCCCCGCGTCTAGCGCATTCTCACTCCCCTCGTGATGCACCGCGGATGTTCTTTCCGGTACTTATTAGCACGTAATTTGCTTAGTTTAATCTCGGCGCTGATACGTCTGGCTATTGCGCCAGACACCCTGCATTTGCAAAAACTTTTATTTGTTCTTTGCTAGTTAAAGATAGATAATTTCTAAAGATATCTTCACTTACTGATAAAGAATATAGCTGTATTTCTAATACGTATACACATATTTTTTACGTACGAGATTAATAATAATAAGTATTTTAATTTGTAATATTGTAAAGACTAAAGCAAACATGTCTGGTGCAAAATCACTTATCATCGCCGATCGCTATCAATGTTCACGAGCCTGACTGATTTGACATCGTGTTAGATTTCACACGTAGAGATAACCCGAAGAAAAATGTATGTTTATATAAATGTACAAGTGTGAAACGCAATCGAAAATTGCAGACACGAATTCAGCCAGACGTATATATATATATGTATATGTGTGTTTCGTATTTTCCTCGGGCAGATTAGTAGTTACGAAATGAAAAAATCTTAATACAATTTGCTGGGATATTAAGCACACGAAGAGTATAATTACAAGAACTGTTCTTATGCGTTGCTTTCCACCGAGCGATTATACATCGTGGCATACGGGCATGGAGTGTTAATAATTACGGTAGACGATGGAGAGCGTGTGTGTATTCGTATTAAGAAGGAACGATACCGCGCCGGTGTTTTGAAATAAAGGCTTCGATATCGTTCATCTCGTTTCGTTAAAATTATATTCACATTATGCATATATAATCTATCCTTTTTACATGTAATTTTTAATATATCTTTCCATATAAGATTATTATTTGAGGCAATTAATTTAATTTTGCAAATTATAATCGGTAAACGTGAACTCGCGCGAACGTCAATCTCGCGCATAGATAAAAAAATATCTAGTACTTTTCCAAGTATTTGCTTGAAATGGGTAAATATGGGAGTACTTCCCCAACGAAGAAATATTGACTAGGCAAACAACTGAGGCTAAGACAAGCGACCTCTCCATTTGCCGGTGCATCTAGACTGGGCGACGGTAGATGCGACGGCGTCAGGCTTTACGGTAATATAGTTTATGTCGTTCTTTCTAATTTCTATGAAGGCTACTCTCAACTCTCTTTCTCTCTCTTCTGCGTAAAAGAAACGTTATATATCGTATGACTCAAAAAGATGAATTCGCTTCTTTTATTATTGAAAGAATTCTTTAATTGCAAGTAATTCATAGATTCGAATGCGCGTTCTCTCTCAGTGAAAAAGACGAATTCGATTCTATAAATTATTAAAGTATCCGACGAAATGATTGTAAGAACATATCCCTTGGCACATATTTCATTTTACTAAATTCACTGAGATTTCTGGTGATAAAGAAATTAAGTATCTCGGGGCAAGAAAAAAACGAACATGCGTCTTGTATACCAACCTGGTAGGGAAATAAGGGAATCCCTGATGGACGTGCAGATCCATGGGCATCGCAGGATGAGCGGGACCGTGATGCGCCGCGGCTGGCACGTACTCGCCACCCGCTGACATGGGGGGCTGCATCATCCCCGCGGCGGCGGCCGCGTGGTGACCCGCGAACATGGCCCCCCAATGGAAACCAGGTGCGCCCGGCATCGCCGACGGATGCTCTAATTCGAGGGCACGGTGACTTCCGCCGGCACCACCGACGATACCACCCCCGGCTGCGCCTCCGGCACTTCCGCCTCCGCGGTGCATCCGCCACCCTTCCACCACGAATGTCGATGGTATTTCCGTCGTCTCAGTCGGTCGTGCACTCTCTCTTGTATATTTCTTTCCTCTTTTTTATTTTTTCCTCTCTCTTTCTCCCTCTCTCCCTCTCTCTTTTTCTTTTTTCGACAATTCACTTAAACGCTACTGCTCACTTGCACACTGTGCCGCGTGTCACTCGCGCCCTTAAAACCCGCACTCGTGCCCGCGCCCGGTACTCGGGTCCGCGCCACGCCGGTACTCGGGCGCCGGTAGCCTTTTCCCGTCGACGGAGACCTGCCGAACGGGAGGGCCCTGACGATCCGCGAGTTCCTCGGGCACCGCACCATACGACCGGTATACTTTATTCGCGCGGCACGCGGTACACCGGTAAACGCCGTGGACGCATGGGCACCGTCCGCGTTCGCGGCGTGGCAGTTGTTGACTCCGAGAACGCGGCGCGACGGCGGTGATGCGGATGCTGCGGGGGAGACAGGTGTCCGCGCCGTAGTGTATCCTCTGGTGGAGCCGCTGCAGCCGGACGGACCCGAACAGTGGCGCAGCCTTTAGCTCGGCCATGAATGACGCGCCGTATTCCGAGTTTACCTCGCGGAGGCGGAGCTTCGGCCTACTCTCGCCCGCGTGATACCTCCCGCCTCCATTCCCTCTCCGATCCTCTTTTCTCCCCCCGATCTTCCTCCTGCCCGCGACTTCACCCCCTCGCGACCACGTGCGCGCGCGTCCGAACGCGAATATTCTCTCTCGTTTCCTCCCTGTGGAGTGTGGTCCCTGTCTATCCCTCCGCGAGTCTATCGAACTCGCTCCGCGTTGGTATCACCGAGGATACTTTACTGCCGCATAATGCAATATCTCGATTTTGGTCTACATTCATTTTAATCTAATCTTTACAATTCAGATACCTATCAGGTTCAGATATCAATCGGACAGGGAATGATCAGATGACGACGAACGAGTCTGTCTAGGAATAATTATGTGCGTTCGCGTTACTTGTTCAGACTCTGCTCGAGATGTTTGACGAAGAGAGCCGAGCGTTAGACTAGGTGTTTGCAGAAAGAAAAACGCGCGTATCGCGGAAATTAATATGCAACTCTCTCCCACGCGACCTTACGGGTAGGAGAGAAACGCCCCCGTTGACCACGCGCGGGGCGGACAAGCGCGTCGCGGATCGACGAAACCGTGGAGACGCAAGCTCGTTTTGGCGTAACACTTGTTGAGCCACTTCGCCCTCGCGGCCTTCGACTAAACGCGTCTCTTAGCGGACGTTTCATAAGCAACGGATTTCCAGAGTGTGCGAGCTTTACTATTCATTCGTCGCGGGCATTTCCACCCGGTAAACCCAACTTACCTTGTCTTTTCGCAATATCAGTCATTCCGTAGCACCCTACGTGTCGCTGAATATCAATTTTGTCGAAAGATGAAGAACGCTATAACGCATTAGTAATTATCACGAACGGCGCTAAATGATTATTCAACTTGAGATACATTTTCCTCGTTTAACCGCGTGACGAAGCATCAGGGAGAAAGGTTTTAATATATTCCCTGTCGCGTTTAATTCTCGGCTCCTCGACAAATTATCGCGCGACAACTGTGTTACTTCTTTTACAATGCTTAGACAGCTTCGGAATTATTACTTCTAATCAGGAATTCGCCGCGCGAATGGCAAATAAAAGCGGCGCTGTAACGTACACATTAAATCAGCCAGAGTTACGTCAGCCCCTCGAGTTGTAACCGGTCTACTACCATAAAAAATTTAATCAAAATGCCCTCTTGGTAATTTACAGCTCGCCCAGCATTCAACCCTTGCCGGGCAAGGTGACTCTCTCCGGCCAGTGGGTGGAGAGGCGACCTCGCTTGCTTAAGTAAGCCGAGTTGAAGTAGGGGGTTGCAAGACGATAGAGAGGAAACAACCGAAAGTAAGAAGGGACGGGCAAACCCCGTAGGAGTCATAGAGCGGCAGTAAGATGCGGCCCATTTGCTCGTTCGAGGCTCTTTTCCGTCAAAAATAATTCAGTTCTCGCTCGTTTGTCGTTTGCCGCCTTAGTCCGTCGCTTAGGGCTCACGAAATGGCCAACAATGGAAATTTCAAGTTTGTCTGTCGGACAAGTTTCATACCGATGCTGCGAATTGTAATATAAAACGCAACAGTAGGAAAGAGCGAATAAAATATTTGTTTAAATTTTGCCTGTTTTATTTAATGAATTATTGAGTCGTTATTCAAGAATGACATTGCTTCGCGATTACGTTTCAATTAAATTTATTTTCTATCTTTGTAATATTATTTTAACCCGTGTGATAATCGAGTTCGCTATATTCGCGTACGCGCCATTCGTTCGTAGATAGAGAGAGAAAAAAAGAGAGAAAAAGAGAGAGAGAGAGAGAGAGAGAAAAACGATAATAATTTACTTCGACTTATTGTTGTTGGAAGAGGGAAGGGAGAGGAAGACAGCGTCGTGCCATTAAGTAGATTCTCTTAAGCAGAAAAATTGTTCCGCGCTGGCCTACCACACGTGGGGTACAGGTGTGAGTCGTAATAACATAGTGGGTGTGCCCTTTAACCCTTAATATCCCTACCTTCGCGCTGACTTCACTAAGGCCGCCGCAAACGGACGTAGGAACACGGCAATCATCGTACCTCTGTATCAATTGCAGGCGCATTATTATTGCGGATATACTTGGCGGTGCGCCGTATCATTGAACTTTCGGCAATATGCCGCGCGATCGCGAACGTTGTCATTGGCGACATACATTACGGTCGAATGCGCTTTTCTTATCGTACAAAGGAATTCATTTTCAGGAATTTTCACACAGGGATTAAAGGCGTGTGGAGTATAAAAAAAAGAAACGTTTCTCTGAACAAAAATGCAGAGTTTATTTGAAATGTCTAAAATGTATTACTTAGTATAATACTTCAGCGTAGTATAATACTTCAAGTCGTGAAAAAAAAGTATCGTTAATAATCGTTCGGACGTTACTTCACAACCGTCCAGCGATTCGTTTTGATACAGTAAAGTGCAATGAAAATCTGAAAGTCGGTGCGCCACCGAGGTAATCACACGGTGAGTTGAGCAAACCAATTTGGCGATTGTATCGTGATGTATAAACGTAGTAACGTCTATACACGAAGTGAAAACGATTTGAATCTCCGGTAATTGTAAAGTAACGCTATTTACGCGCTTCACTTTTACGTGAGCAATATTCAAAAGAATGCTGAAAGTGAAAATTTTCCATTTGAGAAGTTGAGAAAAAAAAGTATTGCAGTTTGCTGAAAACCGCGACAGTCTTGTTGTCACTGACAATAAAATTTCAGTCGAAATTGCGGAGCTTATATCGACCTTCGAAAGAAGAATTTAATAAACATTATGAGATAGCTCACGAAACGTGATTAAAATATAATTATTAGCGTATAATAAATTGCGTTCACCGCTTCCATTTGAGCGTCAAACACGATACAGACGAGTAATACAAATGAATACTAAATACTTTTAACCTTTACGTATATACCCTGTTCTCTCAGTTATAGCTGATATTCTCTACTGAATAGGTGGTCTCACTCGTGTCTCAAGTAGAAGCGTTGCTACACATCTACACTGCTAGGAATATTATCGCTAACATAACTGTCGTAACTTTAGCGGCTTTCAAAACCATCGTTTCTTACAGATGCAATTCCTAATATGTAACGATCAACTTCGCCATCCTTTTTCGTTATTTTAATCTTTTTTTTTTTTAAATTTATTTAGTTATTTAAATTTGATTTGATTGAAATAAATGGTTAAAAAATGCATTGGTATTGCAAAGAGCTAAACGATGGTCTTCGAAGATACCGAATATCGTAATACTTTGTTCGCACTTATCGAACTGAACATTTTTTTTTAATTCTTTTTTTTTTATAGAGCATCGTAATACCATACGACTCCCTTTGATAATAATGAAAAAGATACATGCATATATATTTAATAATCTATACGATATAGATGAATATATTCAGTAAAATGATAAGCGTGACACGATCGTTACAATATTACCAAGTATTCCTTCAACCGCGTGCATGAGATAACATAGAATAGGTATTATAAGTAGCGTTTTGATTTTTCAGGTACTTTATACACGTTATTATTATTTCGTATAAGGCAGATTGAAAATCGTGTCGCGTTTTCGCGAAACGAAAGTAAGGTATATACTTGAAGTGCGTTACTTAAAATAGTTATTGTTGCAATGAAAGGCGTTGCCTTTCAATTCACGAAATTTTCTTACGCTTTCTTATCTCAAGGAATATTTCCTGATGATATTATTTAACTCCTTCACGTTCAAACGATACGAGACAAAAGATTTCAATAGTATTTTAAGTAACACGTTGTAAAAAGTTCTGTGTGCTAGTCCGTTATTTCATAACACTACAGTCATATGAATATAATATGCGTAAGTCTCCACATTAGATCGCCATTATCGCCTAAAGTAAGCGCAAAGACACGCTTGATTAATGATTATTGAGTTTCATTATCGTTCTCGTTAAGTCAGAGATCTTTATTTCATCAAACAATTCCATTGTGATATATAGCGATTGTCATATTGATATATTTTATCGAAAAGTATTCGATGCCATGGACGTTCGTCCGTCTAATAACGGGCAATTAAATAACTGCCATTCTCTTATACGATAAATCGTAAGTACGTATGTACTTTATTATTGGATAATCATCCAATAAATTCTCACTCAATACTCGTTCTCTAGTTGATGTTAAAATAATAACGAGCAAAAATTTTTTTATGTAAGTTACGCCTAAATAAAAGATGATCAAATGATTTACGTTAATTAAAAAAAAATCAGTCACTCTTGCTGCTAAATTTAATCAAAATTTTTAATTAAAATTCAATCAAAATTTGTAGAGGAAAAATAGCGAAAGATATGTTCCCGTTCATGTTAGGCTGTAGGAATCATTTCTCCGATCGCTATCTCAGTATCTAATTACACTCTTATAATTGATTGATGTCAAAATAAGAGCTTCTTTTGCTTAACACAGCTTCATTACGGCGTAATGAAAGACTGTATTAAACTGATAACATCAACGTCCGTTATAGCGAAGACAATAGTCAAGCTCGTGGAAAGACTGAAATTGTATATCTCCACTTTCAATTAAAACTACATTCCTTGCAACTTTTTTATATGCGTCGATTGCGATAAAAAAAATCGCGACATTCAGCTCGACGCATTCATCGTATATAACTTCTCTCACATTCGTGATCTTTTCAACATTCGTTATTCGAGATAGTCGCCATCTGTGTTTGTGATTCATTGATGCGACACAAGACGGCAAAAGTACCGTCTTTAATTATCTTGTCAACTCTTTTTCTTTTCTCTTTCTCTTTAATACAGTATACTTTACAATAAAGTATATATAAGGCTTCTCTTTATCCATTATTTTCATCGATGCAGCTAGTGCATCGAATTTGAAAATTATACTCGGCTCACGCGAGTTTCTCATCGAGAGATATCGATACTGAATAGAACTATATCTCTATTTAGTGCAGCTCATCTCCCTATCGAGTCTAAGCATCACTGTAAATACTTTGATTTTTCAATCGTATAACAAAACTCTGTCTAATAAACATTCGCTATTCGTAGCACATGGTACTTACGTAAAAAAAAAAAATGTGCTGTCGGCGACCATACTACCATTCATGCAGGTCGACGTGCTAGATCTTTCGCAATATAAAGTAAAAATTCACAAAATCAACAGTGTAAAGTGACGGTAATTTAATATAGTTAGCAATCCCAAAAAGACACGTTTCTGTAATATTGCTATATTTCCCCGTGGAATTTCTCGGGCATGGTATTTTACCTTACCGTGGTATTATTCACAAAGTTCTATGTGTCAAAACGATATTAAACCACCGTTACTTTACACAGTTGTAATTATTCTATCTACACACAGATTGTGTTTCGCTATCTCTATGTAGTCCGCAAAATGCCAGATGGACTTACCGACAATATCGCCTCTCTCATGAGAAGCTTAAGATCTGCATAAGCATGAATCGGAGTCGTTACGCTCAAGCGCTTACACAGTAAGCATCGTTAGCAAGTTGTAAGCTCTCAATGATTGACCATAAGGCATTTCTCGCATTACCACTCATTGTATATCATACATTTTCTCAAAAAGACTTTACAAAATAGATTTCGACAAAAATTACAGCATCCACATATCACTCTTATCAAAAGCTCGGTATTTTTTTTTAAGTTTCTTAAAAATTATTTTTCTCTTTGGAAAAATAATTTTCGCCTCTTAGCACAAACTTTGCTTACCATTTCTCTTTAAGTCTATTTATATTAGCCATTGTTTCACTTTCAAATACGAGTGTCTTCAAATATCAAAGACAAATCCCGAAAAAAATCGATACATATAATATTTACAATGAGAAATTCTGACTAATTATATTAATGAGTCGTTAATAGTCTCAAACGACATGTATGTATTTTTCTCTCGTTAAAGGATCATATGCGAGAAAGATCAAAGAACTGTCAAAATACATTACAATCTAAAACTTTCAACCATATTAAAAGAAAACATATTTATATAAATACAGCTTCCAATCACATATGACACTAGATAAGTATCGTTAATAGCATGCACATTGTTATGGATATCAAATGTTCTTGATATGACACAAGATGAGAAAATTGGAGGTGCAGAATATTTCGGGAATGATATAACTGCATGCAATAGGTGCTAAAGTGTATACATATCCGCATGCATCCAAATTATTAATGTGCAACATTATATTTGTTATTATTCACAGTGCATGAACAGCCGATAAATCCCATTGCTGTATTTAAAATCAATCATTTTTATATAAGGCCAGTGTATAAATCACCATGCACGTGTAGGAAAATTTGCTCGCACAAGCCGTTTTCCGAAAATTCATAATACTTAACCCTAGCTCGTAACACTCCAGTCCAGTAGACCACTAAATGTTTTTTGGTTTTATAGTTTTTACATAATAACATAATTTTCTAGTTTCCTTTTAATAAGTTCAGTTTAAATTTAAATCATTTTCTTGACCTGATATTATCATAAACATCTCGTTCAGAGTCCATATTACCAATTTCTATAGTATAAGCTTAAAAATATTAATTAGAATGAAAATGACAATGTGAAAAAGTCGAACGGTCTCACGGACCGGAGTGTGGCGAATTAGTGACTCGAAAATAAGTGTGGCTGGCTAGGGTTAATATCTTTGAAGCGTAAATATCCGATGTAGCTTGTGTATGTTTCATACATTTGCGGAGATATAGGGAAAAAGATATCGAAAAAAATATTCGTTGTTACGGAAACAAAAATATTAGAAGCAGCGTTGCGGGGAAAATACTTGGAACAAACAGGAAGCTTAGCAATATGGAATCCAAGTACCGTTCCTCGGTAAAATTCGATGTAAATGGACTCCCGTCCGTCAAAAAATTGTAAAGTCCACTTTAGGTTTCCGATTTTACATCCATCGGGAGGAAAATTAAGCATTGTCCTCCAAGAAAAATAGTATATGTAATGAGTAAAATATATAATATATGATCTCTGTATATATATATGTATATATATATATCTATAAATAAACATTTATACACTTTAACAATAACATAGGCTGCTGGCGCGCGCAATTTAGAACAATGAGAAAATAACTGTATCAATAATGCAATATTACGTCTCGTTGCATCTCGTTCTTGCACGAATACTAAAATAGAAGAGCAGGATATTTTTAACTGCGACGTTCGAGATTCGTTGCCAGACTTGTCTCTGTACTATAAATTTAATCAATTACTCAACCGCGAATCTATCAAAAATATAAATATAGTAGACACGCATTGATTCAGAATATGGAAATATTCAATTTCCATATATTATAAAACTCATCATTTTTCTATTACGTCATGATAACTTGTGGCTAAAAGTTACAGACTATCGATCGAATTTCGCACACGATGAAGGAACAAAAATAAAGATATACGCAGGCAGTGAAAGAATCAGTCGCTCAAGCGCCGGCAAATCATCTCCTCGAACGCATTGCCGAATTCAACGGGCAATTTAAAATTAACGGTCTAATAATACCGCGCGCTCGCTAAAAATTCGCGGACAGCCTTACGTCGCGGGCTCGATCGTTAAATCACGATTCCCGACGCGCGTATCGGAACGGATATACACATCTTATCCATTTTTTCGCCAAGAATCAGTCGATCGTTGGCGTCGATATTTTTCGTATATACCTGCCGTATTATCCGCTCACACCGGCGGTGGCCCCCTAGGGTAACGTACCAGCAGCGTGAACCGACTTTGCGTGTTCGCAGTCTCGCAACACTGAGGCGTGAAGAAATAAACGGCGACGAAAACGGCGGTCATTGCGAAACAGAAGGACAATGCCACCTTGGCGATTCGCCGGATTCCCGCCCAGGATATCGGCTTGTCGTCGGGGTTGTCGCCCTTGGCGTTGCTTCTCGTCATCGGCACCAATTCCGCGTCGCTTTTTGATGTATCTACGCCGCAGATAGCTTTCTTGCGCTTGCTAAAAAAATAGGAGAAGAAAAAAAATATTTCGATGGCCGAAACGAGCGCTGTTCAATACTGCCGGGCACCGTGCGCATTAATGGCACGCTTATGTTTCCGTTATTTTATTCATATCGCATAGCGTAAATTTTGTTTCGTTGAATAATGTGTTAACTTGCGAGTCAGGCGCATACATAACTTGACCGTTTGGAGGAGAAACTTGTAGGAGCTCGCGACTGGGAAAATTAATTTATGCCGTCCCACGGGTTACGATAATACGAGCGAACCGGTAATAGCAAAGTTCGTCGGAAAATCAATTTGGAGATGCATACACGTAACTTGGAAGTTGCGAGATTGGGCTTGCAATTACAGCTAGGGTTGCCCTATTCCTCCGTTAGTATTACGTAAGTGCACGGTTATTTGATTTTTCCGCAAATATTCATTTAACTCCCGCCTTAATCCGCGAACGGTGAGGGAAGCGGCTCAAAATGTACCGTTGTCGTTAAAACCTAGCTGTTTGTAGACGTGGAGGAAGATGAAAAGGAAGAGAGAGAAAAAAAGAAAACGCGTGAAACGTGGCGAAACGGAAGACCGTCAATCGAAGAAAATGGCACTGGGTTTTTATATCTCCTTTTATGACTCGGAGTGCGGGCAGATGTTTCACGCCCGCGAAAACTAAACCTATTATCCGCCACCACCGAGCGATGATTGAACGTGCCTATAAAAACATCCTTAAAACAAAGTTAAATGAGATACACCGCGGTGATAATTGGAATCTGTAATCATGTTGAACAATATCGTAAGACAGTACTTGACAAATGAGAGGAGAGGAAAAAACCGACGCTTGATCAAAAGCTATACCGACGTGGTAACACATTATTTCATTCATTTTCGAATCACTCGGGTAAAGATTAATTAATAAGAAGACGTCATGCTGAACGTTTAGCAATAATACAATGCACTTTTGCATAACATTTTGAAACACTGCAGGTGATCCGAAATTACGAAAAAAAAACGCGTGGGTTACAAGTATTTTTTTTTTAAAGATGTGCACTACCGTTAAGAGACCGTGGTGCAGTCACCGTACTGGTTCTCGGCAAAAATTCTTATATTCAAATGAGCTGCCTAATGCCCAGCGCTATGGACCAACGACCTCGCGCGTCCCCACATCTAAATAGTCGCCTTCATTCTTTACTTCCCATTTCGACGTTATGCAAATGGAATGTGAGCGTAGGCGGCGGTTCTTAAATTCTGAGCGAGGTCTCATTCTCAAATGCTTGAGCTAAATTCGGCGAGCGTTCGCCTATTTATGCGGTTCGATTGTCACCTCGTTTGAATGACGTCGTCGCGCGAAATAAAACGTGATATCGATTATTCGATTTCAGAAATAATTTGTGTTTTCACGCAAAATTCCCCGTGAATAGGATCAAATGAAAAAAGCTTTAATGCGCAGAGATTTGGAACCGTAATAAAAACCGGGAAGGGTCATAGGTCGTAAGTACTTACTCTGCGGGATAGTGAACCTTGCTGGCTGTTCGTTTGGCAGCACGTACGTCCGCCACCATGGTACGCACGACGATCTCCTCGCACTGCTTTCGCAAATCGCGCAGCTCGGTCTCGGTGTGTTCGATTTTCTTCCAGAGGTCGGTCAGTGCCTCGCTGTCCGGTGCCAGCTGGGTCTCCAAGCTACGCGTAAGTCGCCGTAGCGCGGCCAATCTATGCTCGCGCTCGCTCAGCTCCTGATCGCTCCCGCTATCGGAGATTCCACTGTCGGAGAGCGAACCACCCTCCTGCGTGTGATTGCTCGCGGAGTTACCGGCGAACTTTCCGCAGTGCACCTCTTCCGTCGTTGCATCGTTCAACACCGCATCGTTCTGAAGCACAGAGATCATCGGAATCGCGCATGATTAGTGATTGTTGTGCGTAATAGATGCGATAAGTAAGAATACAAGGAGCACTGTATATTTAGAGAATTTTGCAGTTAAAGCGCGGTTTCTAAGTCATTGAAATATTAATTTAAGTTATTGATCACGGCAACTGGTTAAAGAAAGAATCTCATGTGGACTACAATGAAACGACCGACGCGACGTGCGACGGATCGCGAGATTCTGATAAGTGGCGGAGTATACCCGGGAGAACACGATATCGAATATTGTATAATCCACTCTTGCGCGTCACCGGAGGGCATCGGAAAGCGTATAAGACGATTATATAAAGTATGGGGAATGGGGAAAAGACGAGGGTGTAAGGTGGAAAAGCGAGAATAAGGCAAAGGATGTTCGACGCTAAATTGATCGCCGCGCGATACGTCAACGAACGTTTCGTAAGATTCGCGCGTAGCTTTCCGAGATAACTGTCGCGAGCGGATAGAGATCTTTTTCGATTTTTTTTTTCAGGTACGAGCCACGTGGACAAATGCGCCAAGAGTAAATCAATATATCTTCACGAGAGAAAGAGAGAGACATATACGCGCTTCGGATCAGATACGTTGTGCGCTACGGATGCGCGACAGCATGGCGCGAATACTGGCGAAAATGCCAGTGGTAGTGGTCGAGTAGTAGACAGACAGCCGAGAGAGGAAGGGTGGCTGTGTGGAAGAAAGGGTAGGTTTAGGCTGTTTGCAACGGCGGAGACGGAGGGAACGAGCCTCCGGTAATGAAAAGCGCGATCCGCATACCAAGTAGCAACCTTCAACCTAGCCTATATATAAGTCGGTATGCTCTCTCTCTCTCTCTCTTTCTGTTTCTCGTATAACGGATAGTAGGTACGAAGTGAGTCGAGACGGAATCCACGTTGGTCCGAAAGACCAATCGCGCGAGAGAAAACTGCGAGGAACTTCTTATTTCCGGTTACATTCGCGAAACATATATATATATATATATATATATATATAGCGCAACAAGACGTAAAATATCTCGTATCGGGCGTACCTGCAAGAAAGGCGAGATAAAAAGAGTCTACTCGTTTATCTGCGTAACGCAAAATCCGACCCGACTCTCGGAAGGGGGCAAAAAGCAAGAAGCACGATATTTTTGCGAGGTTTTTCCGCGCATCTACATTCGACGAATAATGTAATGTGCAAGAAAATCTTATTCGCGCTTCTTAAAACGGTGTTTATTACATATTTGCAGCAGGCTCAAAGGCGCGATTGATAAACTGGTTTATCGTAACAAAACGGAATTTTCGTGGCGACAACACGGGCTACAAGCCACAGACCAGGCAAGGCTTGTTCTACCCGCGGTTGATATTAAATTTGTATTTTTACGCTGATTCCACGGGCCATTCCCGTACGTGACGCGAAAGGGAATCGTTCGGGCGATTAACGATCGGAGTTCCCTGGGGAGCCGCTGGCTCCGAGATGGCCAACACCCTCGATAGCAACTCGGACTCGCTGTATTCCCGCGCCAGAAACTTATCTCCTTCTGCTCTCGCTACCCAGCGCCGGCCTCGTACATACATCGGTTAATATTTTATTTACTACCTATCAAAACTTATGGATTCTTTTTGCGAACAGCGGCCGTCCGTCAGTTCGGACTCGCCGGTTGATTTCGATGATTTGTTACAACGCGAAAAATCTTGTAGTTTGTGTAAATCAACTGCACGCGAATATGTGTAGCATACAAAAATATTACGTATATTAAATTTGTATATAATTATAACACACTCTTGTAATTTTCTTATTCATCGTCGCTCCCGTCTGGCAGATAAAAATGCGAGGAAATAAAAAATCGCAATGTTACAAGGAAGAAAAGACTGTAATGTCGAGTGCTTTATTGTAGCCTTTCCTCTTCTTCGGCTCTCCGAAATAGAGGTGCCTGGAGAAGGAAAGAGACGGGGGGAGGGGGTCGAGAGGACTGTCGCGAGGGGAAGATGAAAGCGGAGAAAGAGAGAGGGAGAGAGAGAGAGAAAGAGAAAAAGAGAAAAGGAGAATCGTAATGTCAAGTGCATGAAATTATTCCCTCGAGTGCTGTAGATCGGCAAGACTAAGAACTTTTCGGATTATACCGCCTTGACGGGAGTTTGAATACGTTAAAATATAGACGCGATACACATGGAAAGTAGAAGAAACGAGACGAAAGGAAAGGCTCCTATTATTGGAGTGAGAGTATTGTGTCGCGAGTCGTACGTCTTCTTGACAGGCGAAATGAGCACAGGGACAATTGGAAATTGTTACGGAGCACCTATACGCCGATACGCGGCATCGAGAGCAGTCGGGGACGAACTCTCAAAAATACTTAGAATACTTTCGACATACAAATATGACAATACATGTTAGATCGTATACACTGTTAAATTCGTAGTGCCAAATTATACTCAATTTAAGTAATTTTTAACCATTCCTAAATAAGTCACTTCTGCTCCTACTCAATATGTCGTTAATTTAACTAAAACAATGTTAATTTAACTAAACCAATCGAGTTGAAATAATACTGTTTTGTGTTAAAATAATAAAGTTTGACACACAAATGGTAGTTAAAAATAACAAAATATTATTTAACTTAAGGTATTGGTTTAAATTTAATCCTTTAATATTTGACAGTGTAAATGATTATTTTTTGCTATGGAAAAATTAAATGATAACAGCATCACTTTAACCATCTCGTCTGATAACTCTGATTCTCGTAATATTAACGTTATTCTGCACATAATTATAAATGTTTGAATGATTTCTTGTGTTACACGAGCATCGGAGGCTTAGCTTCCGATAGGTACACGAATTTCCGTAGACCCCGAGCAGTACGTCTTCCCGACAGGCTAAACGAGCGAATAGATCGAAAATCGCGGTCGCGGACCTGCCACTCGCTGCACCTTCAACTACTTTTCTTACGTCCATAAAGCAAAGAAACCCGACGTAGAACGGGCTTGCCAAGAGATTTACTTTATATGCAAATTAGAGACGGATATGGTGGAAATAGGGGGATGTGATGGCGTTTAACGGAGACGCGATATCGACAAGTATCATCTGTCAAACGTACCCTCCGACCTGTACCCCTCCCCTTTCCTCTCTCTTACGAGTAACCTTCGCGCGTTCAGGCTAGTCGAAGATTTATCTCCTGACGTGCGCCATATGTGGCGTATACGTATATACAACTCTCGTCTACGTAACTTTCAATTATTTTTACTTCTCTCAAAAGTTTTAACCTTAAGCTCTCTGCATAAATATATTCAACCGTCTCCCAAAATACGATAATATAAATTAAAAAAAATTACATTATTTCTAAAATATTAGAAAAAATGGTATATCGAAGATCTGATTTCATTGCTTGTTATGCTAATCGAAAGAAGGAAAAGTCGATGCGATATCTCTGGCCAAATCTGTACCCCGCAATCTCAAGGAGCACGATTTGCAAGCCGATTTAGCGTGACGTATATATCGGAAATACAGGATATACAATCCGCATTATAATCTCGCTTTCCTTTAGGTAAGTTACATCCCCGAGATCCGCGATTCTGCCAATCTATGTGGGGGAATGGTTTTATGCACACAAGCGATGCCTCTGGGAATCGTTACCCCATCCACCGGCGTTGAATAATTGCTAACAGCCATCTAACCGATTGAAAATCAAGGATGCGATGGGGATATCTGACATAGGGAATTTGGGGAAGATTTTCATAAGTTCGCTAACTATAATCGTGAGTTGAAAAAAATATCGCGTAAGATATTTAGTGAAGTAAAAAGGACTGACCAATTTAAGAAGAGATAAGGTGTAAATGAAATTTCTGCAATTTCGAATGGTTATTGGATTATTTCTCTACAGATTACTTTATGCAAATTTTACTATTATTACTGTTCGATTGGAAAGAATATTGGATTTAATTTGAAGGGCACAGTACCTGACAATTGATGTCTTGTCTCTCGGACAAAAGTCGCGCGACGTGATTAACGCAAGAGATGATCTCCGAAGTCGGTTTCGTACCCTCTTTCAGGTCCCTATCCGCATCCGCCAGTGTATCCTTGTCCCTTTGCAAGGCGGACTGCAGTTCGGCCAAGCGCATACCGAACTGCTGCATAATTTGTAAAACGCACAGCTGCTGAGTACCTCTGAAAAGAAAAGTGCAAACGTACGTTTATAACACGAATCGCACATTTTAGTAATATATTTTATTATATTTAATATTATATCAAAGAAGTAATCTTTTAAAATAGTTACGCAATGGTAATAATTTTCGAAACGGAACTCTTCGTCACTTTATTGGTACATGAAAATAGCGATAACATGAGCCAATAGTATAAACTATACAACACTTTCCATTGAAATATATTAACGCGGAAATCTTTTCCTCTTCATTTTCGTTTATTTCGTATGAATTATTCATTACTTCTCGAAAGGGTGAATATAAAGAAAGCGCGAAGCAAATTTGGGCAGAAAAATCATGCGAGTCAATACAATAAAAAACGGAAAGAGGGTAAAGCCGTTGTGCAAACATTAAGACGTCGAATTATTAGTAGGCCCTCCCTCCGGCACTATCGGCAAATAAAAACACTTTATTCCAGGTCAATCTGTGAACGTCCCTAGCGAACATATACGAATGAATCGAGGAAGGTTGGTCTCGTGTCCCTTTTTCGCATTGGCGTATCCATCGCGAAGAGTCGATATATTTATAAGACTTGCATGTTTTACAACATTGTGATAGACATTTTGCAACATCTTTTTCGAATGAATCGCCGATTAATTGCGCGAATAATTCGAAGGGTTCAATAACCGTTCTTTGTGGAAATCATCTTTCAAGAATAGAAGTGTCTCTTCGTACCAAACGAAGGGATAGGATTGACCTCTGTAAACCCCAATGGGTCAGTGGTAAACCCCTTTTTGAATGGTCTAAACCCCTATCAAAGGGGGGAATCGAGTGCTCATATGGAAATTAAAAGAGGGTTGTAATGATCGCGCTAACTATTCGTCGTTGTTCGTCCGAAAAAATATATATTGTGGTAAAAATTATAGTGTAACTTTTTAAAATAATAAATTTATGTAACAAATTTTAACTAAATAATCATAAGAATTTGTAAAACGATAAAAAATTTGTTATAAGTTATTTAACTTTGATATTAAATTAATTTTAATGTGTATAGAGACCACTAATTTGCAGAATAAAATCGATTCTATTCTATTCTACAAATTAACAATATCTTTTTGCATTTGCAAAAATCGACAAAATATCGGTGAAAGTCGTGACAGAAAAATGCAAGAGGATATTGCATCGCGCTGTCCCTTCCGAATCTCGATCGCTTTTCTGTTAAAGCTGTCACTCGGAAAAGGTCCGTGATTAAACGCGATCTCCGTTAAAGCTAGTAATTCCACGACACGGGTCAAAATCCCAACGAGGAGAGCCCTTGCTGGCGGTACCTATGCCGCTCTCGGTTTCCGCTGTTTGCTTTGGTGGCTTCATTACCTCTCAAAATATTTGCCTAACGTCACACATCGGCCGGCAAACGGCCAGTCGATGTGATCCAGTACCAACTATTCTATACGGGATACACCGTTGAACTCCGCAAGTAAGGACATCTCCAAATTAATCAAGAAAACTATCAAATCGTTTCCTAGGCTCGTTACTATAGCGCGATTTTCCCAAAATCTGTACACGGAGAAAATTTTATAGTAAATATTACTATGGTGTCGCACTAACTGCGGACCATCGAGGAATTTTAAGTTAAATTACTATGTTTATGGTAAAAATTACGTTATTTTATCGTTTTTAAAACAATAATTATAGTATTTTAACTTGAAATTCCTCGATGGTCCGCAGCTAGTGCGACACCATAGTAATATTTACTATAAAATTTTCTCCGTGTAGTGGGCCTTTAATAAGCTTGCATTCACGGGAAACGCGTTCTACAATGTGTTCGTAAAATAATCAAACGAGTGAAAACAAATTTTAGTTTACGGTTTCAAATATTTTACACAGTACATTATAGCCCGTTTGATCTTTTCGAGAATTATTTTGAAAAGAGGCAATCACTCACTTTTGATTCGTCTCTCCCCATATCGTATAGAGCTCAGGCATGCCATCCTTGAGGGCTGTGCAAATTAACGGCGCGGAGGCACCGAGATTGGTGGTCAGCTTGTGCGCGAAAACGTTCAAGTCGCGCATCGCTGTCTTGCGGTCCTTCAGAACAGCCAGGTCGGCCTGCGAACATAAAATATACATTTTTAGTAGCTGGCTCGCCTTGCCTAACTCAAACGAATTACCCCGCGGTGCAGGGGTAAACGCGTAGGGGTCGCCCGAGGGTGAAGGTGATGTATAAAGTGCCCACAGACTAAGAATCCGGCCAAGAAGGGATACACGTGGGATCTAAGTGAGTTTTATCGCGTATCTACCGAAAACGTCGGACAACTTTCTTTCCGGCGTGTGTCGATCGATGCAGCATCGCATTCCGTGATGATCTTTTACTTCCGTATCCATCGAACTAATCGTCGTAAATCAAATAAATATTTTGACGAATACGTACGATGGAGAATATATTTTCAGGGAGGTCTTGAAAAGTCTATCTACGATTGATTATCGGCCGCTATATCTCTATTTAAAATGCAAAACATTGAAAATATAAAAATAAAACCATTTCGTGTTTTGCGCTCGATCAATATAAGATCGGCCTCGACACAGCGCGAACATCTTAGTAGTAGTTTCTTTGAAGAGAGGGAAATTACTTTTAAAGAACGGAAGAAACGAGAGGCGGTGGATATATAAGACGCGCGGATGACCGCAAGGGCGAGTTTTACGAGCTTTCCTTCGAGGTCTCCTGCTCGTCACGCGATGAGCGAGAGAAATGGAACGGGAAAGAGGAGAAATGGAACGGGGCTCTCGTTTTCGTTCTCTTACGTTCCCTGTGTCGCCATCGTAAACCCGGGTTTATTTATGCGATCCTCGTCGGTAACGTCCCGCGGTAGGACGACGGGGATGTGACAACGTGACGTGGTTACTGCATCGCGCCACGCCGCGGGTTTCCTACAACCCTTACATTTAGCCTATGTTGCCACTGATAAACGCTCGTTCGCATTATTTCTCTCGACTCGGCTGGAAATCCACGCCGCGCTCCGCGATCGTCGCCGTCGCTCCGTGTCCCCTTCTTTCTCCATATCGGGAAAAATTTTTTTCATAAAACCGCACGGCGCGCCACTCGCCCACAAGCTGCTAGGCAGTTAGCCGGTTTTGTTTGTGCCGTCAAGCGGGGCAAATCGCACGATGAAAAGGAGAACGGTCCCCGACGCGGTCGCGGTATTGCAAAGTGCGCGGCGCGGATTTGCCCCGGTGTCCGGCGAAAAGTGGTTGTCATTGATATTCCGAGCACATAGCGAAGGCAGAAGCGACCGTTCCCCGCTTCTACCCCTCTTTTCGTAACCACCCTGCTTCTCTCTTCGCCACCGCCGCCGCTGCCGCCACCACCACCACCATCAGTATCAACGACGCATAACCAGCGGCAGCCGCCGCCGCCGAGCCCCCTGCCATCGTAACCACCCTCGCTCGCCCTCGCCGTGCCCTCGCGGCTCGCAGCAGACACGCACATTCCGATCTAATTCAATTTCCAATCAACAGCCAATCAATTGATTCGAATTCGGTATACAGAGCGGTCGCTGCGCGTTCGGGACCTGCATGCCTATGAGGCCGCCTGCGCGCCACACCAACGGGCACGTACCCCGTAAAAGTAGAGAATTAGCTTTTTACGTCTCGTAATTCCGCGGTACTAAGTGGAACGGAGATACACTGCCGGTATTCTAATTGTGCCACGGTCCCTCCGCGTTCCGCGCGGTTCCCTCCGCGATGGAACGTAAAGACCGAGCGTTGCGATAGACGATGAAAGAGAGAGTATAAGGTAGATTTCATTTTTTTTTTTTTTTTTTAATTTTTTCAACCACCGCAAATCTGTCTTCACACGAAATTAAACTACATTATCGCATATTTTTTTAAAACAATTTCCCTAAGGTTAATTTTATTAATTACTTACGCTGGAAATATAATCGTCGCGTAAAATTAATTTCGCGGCTGAAGCGAACTGCACATACGTTTGTCCGATATTACGCAATAACATAATCAGCGAGGGGCGACGACGTGCCTCGTCGAATCGCGTAGTACGTTCGGTCCGCGGCCCACGCCGACGCGTACGTGCCCCGCGGGATGGACGCGTAGACCCAATTGTGCCCTGCTTAGCGATGCATAATACATAACGGAATGTTCAATTCTGTCTCTCGCGCGCGTGTCAGTCTGCGTTTGTTCGCGCCGTTGCGCTTTTCGGTGCCGCGCGGCCTGCATCCCAATCGCGGGCTCACCACGTGCGTCGCGCGGCGGACAATCATCCGCGATACGCAATCAGCTTGTTGACGGTCTCCATCCGCGCTCGACGTCGGCGTTTATGTATTCCGGACTCTTTTCGCGGGTACTCGGCCTGTGCAGAGTTCCCGTGCGAGGGACCGCGTGACCCCCTCAGTGACCGGGGGACGTACGACATCGCGGGTCTTACGACCGCGTCAAACTTTCCTCGCTATCAGGGACTTTGACGACGGTAAAAGCATGAGAGAGGTAAATGAAAAGAAAAAAACTAAGGGGAAAAGGAGGTAAAACCAAGAGTGCGGCTCCCGCGTTCGGACCGGCGCGGATTGGCGCGAGCTACACATCTCGTGCATAATGCAGCAGAGCGACGAGTTCACCCGGCAAATGTTGGACGCTAATACATCTTGATGATAGATAGGGAGCATGTGTTTGGTCTTCGCAATGAGGCTGGGGAGGGCGCGGAGGATGTTGCGGGGGTGCGGAGGTGCGGCGGTGGCGGCGGCAGCTTTCACGGAGGGCTTCCGCGGTAGGGCTGAATGTGCCGGGAGGATCGAAGGGGGATGACTCTCGGGGGGTGGAACTCCACCGAGCGGGGTTAGCTAGGTTCGTCGGCGTTCGCTCTCCTCGCGAGTTGCGATGCCGAGCACGTCGCCGTCAGACGAGCGTACGTGCGACACGACTACGCTTTTACGCCACTACCTCTGCCTCTCTACTTGGTTCCTGACTGCTCTCTCCTACTCGGCTTCTCTACCCCCCCCCGTCTTCGCCAACGCCTCCCTCATCCCTTAGTCCACCTTCTTCGACCGCTTTCATTTTGTTCCTCCTCCTCTTCCTCCTCTCCCTCTTCCTCTTTCTCCTCCCCCTCCCCGAACGCGACTGCTTGGCGAAGCTTTCTACCCCCAGTTTCTGACTTTTCTGTCTTACCCGCCGTACCAGAGACATTTCCAATAATGCGCTTTCTCATCGCGATTCGATTCCCGAAGAACTTGTAGAAATTCGTCAGGAACTGCGTGCACTCGAGATGCACGTTCGAAAAATTCGAATTTTCACTTGTTCGAATTTTTAGGATCGCCAACGTAAGCACTTCCTAAATTCTCAGATATCGGGATTTCTTAATATATCATTGACTATCTCATTAATATTATAATATTAAGAGATTTACGCGATGGTGCTTCGTTATTAACAAATATGTTTTTCCAGAATTATTTATTTAATAAAGATATTTTTTTATTCAGATAATGCTTTAAATTAATATTAATTGGTGCACTATATGAAGAGTTTTGCACACGGATAAGGTAATCGCGTTGATCAAATCGTCGATATTGCGATTATAATTTATTTAGCTTCGCTAAAAAGCAAGAAAATGGAATCTCTATCGTATCAATCGAGTTGGAGTAGAAGATCTCTTGTTTAGCACAAGAGGATACATCTCTATCGGTATACTCTTACCGGCCGTACATAAATTATCATATGTAACATACATGTGTAATTTACTCGCTACTGATAAAAAGATATCTATAATATCCTCCTAAGAATAATGTGATTTCAAATCGCATCTAATAGACAAAAAATTAAACGCAAGTCATACACGTACTTCACATACATATAATGCTAATGAAATTCAGTCAGAGAAAACTTTAATCTAAATAAATGAAAACTTTACATACTAGAAAATCCTTCTTGGAAATAACTTATATACAAATCAGCGCGCGTATATGTGAAGTAAAATATGCGTAATGTTGAAAATAACTTACAGTGATCTCATTAATGCGATCATCGAGCACGCTCGACTGCTCCAGGACGACTTCGTAATCGGAAAATCGATCGTACATGGCTTTGAATTCTGCTTTCATGGCAGCCAGTTCGCGATGACGAGCGCTGGCCTTTTGCACTTGCTTGACTCGCGATGCCAAGCTCTCCCATCTCTCAATCGTACCTAAACGAATTATACAACATAGTGCAACATTAATAACACAGCATTTTAAGATAAATGATAACGCTTTAACGTTATCCAATCAATTTTCTTACATCCGTTTGTAAGATAGACGAATAGAAATCTTCAGCATATCATATTAAAAATAAGTTGTGTCGACGTTCGAAAATTATTTATAGAAAATTTATAAAACTTTAATTCTTTTACAAAATAATTTAAAAATATAATATATATAGCTTTATATAAAATTCTTGATATGCGAAAATAGCACTAACGTCACTAATATTAACTTAGCACAAAAGCACAACAGACTTATCTATATTATTACATACGGTAATAATTTGACATATGTTATTCCGATACTCGACATGCGCATTCATGTGTTCACCTGCTTTCTTTCTTTCTTTCTCCAGCGAGCCTCATGAAAGAAAAGAAGACAGCAATTATATTCCTACATGTCGTTTCGTTTCCGAGCATTAAAGAGCTATACTGTTATCCGTAATAACGGTATCTGTAACGATTCGTGGCCCTCATCAGCCAGTTATGTAAAACGATCGTGAACAAAAAATTTGAAAGGTCAAGATACTTGTGTTTGTACCGTACGGCTTCCGTGACCTCTTTTCCGTCCAGCCACTTTCTTTCACGACGGCCACTTTTTCCAAATCGAAACCGCGCGGTCAGCATGATAGAAACGATATATACGGATGCGGAGGATTGAAGAAGCGAAAGATCGAATTAACGCGGCGGCGGCGGCGTCGCAACGTCGTAAAAGTCGTCGCTACATCGTTCAAGGAAGGCGTGTACGGAATGCGAAAGGAAGAATTCGACGCGTAGAAAGTATCGTGTTTTGCATTGACCTACAGGAAATGATGGACCGTACGTACCAGCGAGGAAAAAAAAAACGCGGCATGAACGCGATGCGAACGCGATACGAAGCTCGCTCTGTACACGTGGTGCATATGTAAACGCGCATCGCGGAAACGCACGCTTCGTGCGATCGTACTCTCCTCGCTTCGCCGCGTACGATCGCCAGAGCGTAAATCGCCATTGAACGCAGCTGGTCCGACGATGTTTTCGAACGACGTAACGCACGGTGCATTTTTCGCGGAAACACGCATACATGCTCGCAAATTAGATGGGAAACACAAAGGGGAAGATGCATAAACGGTTCGCACCGGGTCGAGCGCGTGGTCAATTTTTGTTGGCTAGTTTCACGCGGGTCGGTCTCTCAACACATTAGAATACATATTTTTAATCGTGAAGTTTTGCGTCCGATATTTTTCAGGAAGGTTTTAGCGTCATTTACTTTCACGAAACTGATCGCGATTTTTTTATTCCGTCTCGGAAAAGTGGAACGACGATCACGAGCACAAGCGTCACGTCATGCGCGGCGCAGTCGCGTCGCGTCATTTCGAACGGTGCAGATATCGCGAGAATGATCGATGGATTCGGCGGGTAACGGAACGGCATTACTGTATGGTCATTGTATATTATTACTGCACGCAACAATACGAAGATTCGAAAAGAAGGACACTACAATACGACGTTTTTAAATTCGTAATAAAAGATCGAGAATTGACATTTGGCATAGCGGCGCCTTTTTTAATTTTCTGAGATGATATTGAAAAATAATATTTCGAGATGACGTTCTTATATCATCCAAATTTCTTGTGGGCAGTCTATCCGAACATCTGTTTGTACAAGCATTTACTTGGTCTCCTTTCATCGATGCTCTCATCGTATACTCGCGTCGGCGGCTTTTCCGTTTACGTCACTTTTGAATAAGCAATCGTGTCTATTACAGTCGTGTCTAGTTCATATGTAATTCGGCAGTATACAGCTATGTAATCTTGTGAATTTTCGTACGAAAGCCATCCAAGGCAATTAAGTTATTTCCTTTCGCGCAAGCATACACTGTTAAATTCGTAGTGTCAAATTATACTCAATTTCAGTCAATTTTTAACTATTCCATAGGTCGTCACTATTCCTGCTTAATATGTCGTTAATTTAACTGGAGTTAAAATAATACTGTTTTGTGTTAAAATAATAAATTTCGATACACATGATAGCTAAAAATAACAAAGTGTTATTTAACTCAAGGTACTAGTTTAAAATTGCATTTTTTAACATTTAACAGTGTAAAGCCCGTATCAGACTATGGATTGGGATTGAGATTGGATTGAAATTTAATCAATCAGAATAAAGAAAACTGATCTCAGGTTTAGTAAATTTTGCTCTGATTGGTAAAATTTCAATCCAATCTCAATCCCACGCCGTAGTCTGATACAGGCTTAACGACCGTGTTCGAAAAAGAATAAAAAAGAACTTTGAGTATGACAATTGTTTGACGTTTCTCGAGACCGATACGATATAGAGCTAATTGCACTAACTGCGCAACGACAGCAATAGCGAAACGATGACGGCAAAGGTAACAATACGTACGCGAACTGTTCGGGGCGATCTTTTCCCTTTGTGCGAGCATCGGGCTGACAGATTCGAAACGACAGATGGGCACGTGGGCCGTCCGGGAGGCGGGTGTCCCTTCCGACAAATTGCAATTGACGGACAGCCGAAACGCAACGCGGATGCGATGGACGAACGTCCGGTAATGTTCGGACGCATCGAAACACTGCGAGGCACGGCACGGCACGGCGCTTGTCCGCGGGCGGGAGCACCGTGCCCACGTGATACGCCTCGACGTAGCGGCGATACGATTGCACGAGCGTACGTGCAAGTCGCAATTCGCACACGCCGATGCGCGACCGCGGATAGCGCAGCATCGCCACTACCACCAGTTCCTGTGGCCCTGGGGAGCAACCGGAGCGTCGTTAAGTTTCATATAAGGCGCGAGACGGGTCTCGGACTCCGAGATACGTTCGCGTTACAAACGCAGCGTGCGTATCCACCTACGCGTCCACCACGGCACCCATGTGTACGCACGATCGGCGACCTAACGATCTCGTTAGATTTATGATCGGAGTAAACTTGTTAATCCGATCTGACGCTTATACGGCACGCTTAATACGCTAAAGCGGGTCGTAAAACAGTTGGAAGCTTTCAATCGGCTTTCAGTTACTCTTGACACCGATGATGCCTCGGATAAACAATACTGCGGAACGATTTATAATCGCATCGTGTGGTCGTTAGGAGTATAGACGTTTTCATTTTCTGCTTTCTCCTATACTCGGGTGCGCCTGTTCAAACTTTAGTGGCTGGAAAGCAAATTGTGTCGTGTATAACGTCGATTTAGATGCTATGAAAGCGGCGCACGATTGCTTCACATTCATTATTCTAATTACAATGTACATTTTGCATCTCTTAGTTTCACGAATAATGTTGCAAGCACGCGTGTACAAAGAGAAATGAATATTAGTACACATAGTTTTTATTATATGTATCTGATCGCCACATATAATATTCTTTCGCGCATAATTCTTCGCTTTCTATCTTACTTTTGACACTACTTTCTCTGTTTCTACCTTTACCCTACTACATCAAGTACAAAGATTTGTAAAGAGCATTTATCGAGTAACGGTAATACAAAAAACTGTGCAGGCAAAAGGTTAAAATAAAGAGAAAGTATTAGATGCACTGTAATAAACATGTTAATAAGCGGAGTAACATAAAGATTTTTATTTAACATAAATAATAAAATACATATATACAAAATAGATAAATAATATTAGTTGGATTAAAATTGGATTTAAACTTTCCTAGGTTCTTGCTATTCTTGCTATACATATAACATTTATACTGATGAGTCATCAGTATAAATGTTAAACCGGTCGAACTAGGACAGTGGTTTCGCAATGACAAAGTAGATTACATCTAATTTTGACACAGACGAATTGAAACTTTCATTAGCGCGCTTACTGACGGTAGAAAAAGACTTGTATGCGATCAAATTTTTGTGCGATAGAAACGGATATTCACATCTTTGTTATCTATTTACCCGTTCAACAAAATAAATGCGATTGTATTGATGATATAAGATAACGGCAGATACGATTAAATAATATGAGCACATTTTCTTTAGAAATACAAAAATTTTTCATTATATATGTATTAACATGCATTACTAACACTATGTATTAACATGCAATAATATGAAAATAGTGTTGCTGGAAGATATCGTTCTCACCGCGCACCGTCAAGAAATAAGCAGGACAAACCCGATCAGACACAAAGTAGTAGTTATAAAAAAGAATGACATGAAATTGATTAACTGCTTGTACTCACCGCGAATTTGTTTCAAATATTTTTCATTTCGCAAGTATCCGTTTTGCGATTCCAGCACGGTCTGCAAACATCCTAAGTTTTCTTTACATGCAGATTCCACTTCGGCCTATTAGGGATAAAAAGGATAAATTCCATTAACTAACGTGTCTGTTCTGTCATGACACAGATCAAATATAAAACAGTGCATCTAATTAATCATTTGATTACACTATTCTATTATCTTAGTTAATAAAAAGTAAACGAATATCTCCTATGATTAAACAATCTTCCCACAATATCGCGATTATAAAATTTGCTATGCAAAACTTTCATAGTATGAAAAAGAAGAAAACTATTAAAGAAATAAAGAATCATGCACATAATTAAAGAATAGTTTTGAAGTTTTTAAGAATGTAGTCATCACAATCCAGAAGAATTTTTTTTAAGAGGAAAGAGTAACACACAACGCTGCAAACCTTAATATATAAATTAATCAAATGGTACACATAAATCTTATTTGTGTTACACGAACACAAGATTTTTTTATGTCCTTAAGAATAATTGAAATTATATATTAAAACGTAAATAAAATATAATTTGTAATCACTTATTAAAACAGTTATGTTTTATGTGTTATTGCTATAGGAGAGGAGACAATATTATAATCAATGCAAACTTAAATATAATTAAACAACTTATATTTCATGCGTTTATACAGTATATATGCATACGACGTGCAAACTTAATAAAATCACTTACGAGATAAAGCGAAATAACGGATAAAGCGTATAAGGGATGAAGTAAAAACCGTACTCCAGAAGCGTCTACAAAATGTTACGGAAACAGGGCACTGTATTGCAAGGATTAGTAAGAAAATACGTACAAGTTCTGTAGGAACTGCGCCAGTGGATCTTACGAAAGTATTTTCAGCAAGTATAAGCTGCGCTTGTGAATTTTCCGCAATTTTCCGTAAATCTTCCTCGTCATTATCGCTATCTTCCGTACTGTAATCGATTTCCTAGAATATAATCACAATGCATGAACGTTTGATTATATAATGCACGACGCCTCCTTGGAATTCATGCAGAACGTTACACAGATACAATACACGTACAGATGCACCGTCCATGAACGCATTAGAGTCATACAAAACATGAGATCATTTATGTTAGACATTTTTTATTTTTCTTTCTTTTTTTCTATAGTATTATCAAAGATAAATTCTTGATTATTTACAGATAATACGGTTTTATTATTGCCATTGTATTGTTGTCTCAAGATTTGATTTATCAATATAATATTGCAATCGTCAATAGACTTTAACAGAGAAAGACTATAGTTCAATTATTCACCATACTTATTCTATAGTAAGGGCAATTAACATTTTAATTATTAGAACTTATATTAATAAAACATTACCACAAAATCTACATGCAATTAGTATATAATATTGCATAACCATATTACGAAAAATAAAACACTTATATAATTGCTTGAAAAGTTTATTTGTTGTAACTATAATTTAAGACGATAATGCTTTATTTGAGTGTATCTGTATCGATGTAATGATTGGACATGTATTGATCAATGTTAAAATGGCACAATATTCAATATAAATACATAAAAATTATTAATATGGTTAATTCACAATTACACATATTAAATCTGTACTCTCTTTTCCCTTTCCCATAAAGGTTTTTTTTTATGCAATGATGTAACGATTGGACATGTATTGATCAATGTTAAAATGGCACAATATTCAATATGGATACATAAACATTATTAATATGGTTAATTCACAATTACACATATTAAATCTGTACTCTCTTTTCCCTTTGCATAAAGGTTTTTTTTATAGAAAAAATATAGATACTTGATCGAGACAGTATAATAACAAGGGACCTACATGGTACGTGCGAGTCTTAGGCAATGGCGAACAAGCAGGAATTGCGCTTATACTAGATGCGCATTCCGACTGGCTATCAAGAAAGTTTCGATAGTCATCTCCAAAATCCAACAATCGTCGAGCCGTTTCTACATCTAATGGCTCGCTGTAAGGTTCGCTCATATATTTCTCCTGCGAATCAACGAAGATTGATCAATGTAGATAAAGAGACAATACTTTTATAAGTTGTTATTGTTAATGCTATGCAATTTTATATTACCACATAATTATCCCAGGCCTGTTCGGATAATGAATTGTTACCGAGACTGTTCATTTCTACGTCACTGTCTATATTCAACTGCTGATTGCCTAGCTCTTTGCTATTCAGCGTGGTGTTCAATATATCATTATTGTAAGCGAAGTGTCCTTGAGCACAATCACGATCCTCGCCTTCCGTCTCCAACGTGGAAGCAATTGACTTGCAGCAAAGTAACCTGAGGGGTGTAGAATTATTGACAAGCGTCTTTTCTACGTGTAATTGTTGATGGACGGTACAGCCTGAGAAAGACCCAGATTTAACGAGAGTCGTGGAACGACTATGGCAGTTTTCTTTCGAAACTATATGCGTTGTGCGATTTAAGTTCATTTTGCGAGACGAGCGTTGCTGATTCGAGCTGCCATCGCTTCCCGCTGAATGATGATTGGCGTGCGCACTTTCCGAACTAGATTCACTCTTACGGCCCTAAATAAATGCAAATCAATAATTTTTATCATCCTCGACTTAAGTTTGATCTACAAAACAACTCGAGATACGAAGTAAGAAATACATTTAACGAAAACTAATTCGGCAAATATATTAACATTTTTTATAATCAAAATCTTCCTTACCAAAGTCTTCTTACGCAATCTATTTTTCTTTCTGCGGAATGATATATTTCTAGCTACGCGATCGTCAGAACATATAAGAGTCTCTTCTAATAAAGTAGATGCGGAATTATTAAACGACTTCCGTGATCCTCTGCAATATTACGATATTCGATAACAAACTCTTATTTAACACGGAAAAGTAACAATGGATTAAAACAAAACACAGGTAAAAATGATTAAAAATTGATGTACTTACGCAGCATCGAAAGATACGGATTTTGTAGGTGGGGTCGCGACCAACTGATGAAGCGCAGTCTCCGATATGGAGAATGGTAAAATGGGATTGTTTATCTGAGTTAAGGTAGGATTATCTCCGATTTGCGAGATACAAGAAACGCTCCACGGCCTAGATCCTTTCGCTTTTTGTCTCGATCGCATTACGACCTTCGGCGTACTCTCGTCAGGAGTTAGCTCGTTGACGGGCGTTTTCTGGACGCAATCGAGTATCTCTTGTGAAGGGGATTGCGATATACACGCGAGAGCACCTTCGAATCGGCGGTAGGTCGCGACGCTACTCTGCAAATCATCTGACGATATCGATTGTCTTTCTCCATCGGACTCCTCCGTCGTGTATTCACCGCTGGCGTCACAGCTATCTAATGGCTGTAATATACGCGCCGTTATACGTAATTGTGTCACGTGTTATGTTTTCTTGCAAAATCCGTAATAATCTTTACACCACAAATAGTATATAATTTTAGATACGCAAAACTTTTATGTCAACTATGATAGTAATATTTGATTCAATCCAAGAAAAAAAGATTCGATTTAACTTTGTTCGTTTCCTATTTTTCTAGAAATCTATTGATCTAATTTACCTGCGATCTGCCCTCGTAACTTCTCGACGCGTTCAACTTCAACCATTCTCTCACGCGCGCATACTTAGCTCGATGATTGTTCGTTATGTTTTTCTCCTCGAATTCTAACTGCGGAAAAGTGCGCGAGGCTTTATGTCTTTCTTCGCCGATCAAGTTTTCAACTTCTTTGATCAACCTTTCGATACTTGATTTATCATTCTTCTTTTCATCGTCGCTATCTTTTTGCTGAGCTTCCCGGTCGTCACGTTCCGTTTCTTTTTCGTTACCTAGACTCATTTTTTGCGCAAAATGCATTTTTTCTGAGATATCGACCCGCGGACGCTCGTCAAAATCCAGACGAACCACAACGTTCGTTCTTCGCTGCTCCGAAACGACAAACGAGCTGTTTCGATGAGCAGGAGTGTAAGTCCACTCCTCCTCGGAGGAATCCTCCACTGTGTTGGACGATTCCTGGACTAGTTGACTACAATCTGCCTCGGAGTCGGTGTCCAAATGCTTAAAGTAGAAGGTAGCGCAGTTCTTCGATTTTCTGTCGGACCTAAACATCAGGAAACAATGTCTCGTGTCGGTTGTTACTTCGGCGGAAGCCAAGGGTAACCGGAAAGTGAAGGGATAAGGAATAATCAGTTCCCGAGCAATCATCATTTTACCGTTACGAGATAGCGAGGTAGGGAAAAAAAAAAGAAGAACATGTGCAACTCACATGTTGAACGAAGCAGCCTCATCCGTTGCCCCGCGTTTCACAAGTTCGCTCGTCCGCAGACCGTTATTCGATTTTTCTGTACTTTCGATTTGCACGGTGCTTGCCGCGTCGATTTCGTCGCACGTCCCCTGCATCGCCGCCGTCGACGTCGTTATCGGCACGGTGTCCGGTGTGGGCGGCATGTCGTGTTGCTCGCTGTCGCTCGCTCCGCTTTCCTCGACGTCACCCTCTTCCCCGCGGTCTCGCGCGATACACGTAATGGAACTGGTGGCCTCTCGTTTTGCCGGTTCGTCGGACCTTGCGTCCATCACACCCAGCTGACACAATTCATCCTACATACCGTAGAAAGCGTGTGTATCAATTATATTGATATTGATAGCGTACATTATTTGCGCGTGCATTATCAGTAAATTCTTGCTTGAAAAGACGATCAATTATCGGACAAGATTTCTAGAAGATTAATTTCATTTCTATTTTCAAATTTCTATATCGTTTTATTCAGAAGCGAAATGATTAGTGAAATGATTCGCTGATGAAAAGGAGTGCATCACTGTATTGATCAAATACAAGTTTTTTAACGCTAAATGATATATCGGTGTATTAAAGTGAAAGAATAACTTGAGCCTATGGGATATCTATGATTTCACTAGACGCTACTTTGTTGGCCTCTCGCAAGACCATTCCGTCCGACACGGATGTCACGGTTTTTGCTACAAATTCGACCGCTACTTTTTGTCAAGATCATCACGTGGCGTACAGACTTCTCACTGTACATGCGTGCCCCATTCGTTTTACAGAAGCCGTTCTTCTTCGCAGCCTTCGAGACTTAGTCCACTTAACACATTCGGATACGCGGCTCTTCTCTTAGCCTACGCGACGTAAAGTGGTGGTAACAACGCTCCTCTTATCTTTCGTTAAGGCTAAAAGATGATTTTAGTTTAACTCCCGCAGTTGCGCGAGATTCCAAAGAGGAAGCACAATTCGCGCAGACGTACTTTGCTCGCGACGCGCTCATCGAGGTCTATTAAGCGTTAATGAAAATTCCCGTCTATCGTAGTAATGTACAACGACAATAAATTAATTACAGCGAGATCCGCCCATTATCGTTCGCATCGAAAAAATGCCTACGGTACTACGATCTCAGAGAGTAGAGCTAATAATTTCTATGCATGAATCGCGCAGCGCTCGAAAACCGGGTCAATGACTTGTAATAGTCGTGTTTCGCGACAGCAGAATGGAGAACAATAGCGGCTGTCAATTCGTGGAACAACTACGTTAGAACACTTCCCGTCTTTTGCAATTATTTTGCGAAAATTGCTGAAGATAGAAGAACGCGAGATAAAAACGGAAGATCGATATAGATTTTATGCGCACCATTTTATAAGGAGCATCGCAAAAGAGACTTATCCATTTGATCTAAATTTATATCTGAACTTTTTTTTTTAGTACCGATATCGTTGCGTGACGGAGTCACTCTTATCTTCCTCAGATTATTCTACATCCCGCTGGAAGACAAATATAACTTCTGTCAGTCGCGTGATTCATTCCCGGCACGATTCCTATAATATTTCCATAACGACACGGCTCTTCGCTGCTCGCTATGCGGTCACGACACAGAGTTACGGGGACGGGTAACGGGGAGCGTTTCAATTCGTGAATAATTGGATCTCAATCGAAATCGCGTAATCGAGCCTCACGGGCTCGTCCCTATATGGGCGCTCGATGCGAATTCAAGCGTACCTCGAAATACGATCCTTCGCCGACGGATTGATTCTCGGAAAAGGCGTCGCTGTCCGACTGCTCGGTCCTCTCATTGGAGACTGGATGATCGCGGTGCTCGGATCTCGGGCGTCCGGCAACGCGCTTCGCGCGTTCGGTGCGCGCCGAGCGAGCGGACTGTCCCGGCGATTCCGCTCCGGAGCCGCGCGATCGTCCGCGGCTGAGACGAGGCTGTTTCGTGACTGGTTCCTCGTCGCTGTCGTTACTGCAGCCGTTAGACACGGCGTTCTGAAACATGAAATCAATATCCCTTTTACTCGATAATCGCCAACGTTTCACCGATCGGAACAAATTTGTCGGATTGTTCGCGATATTTCTGCACCTCTCGTTGTCGTGTTCCGAAATGTTGAACGCTTCTGCGTACGGAGACTTATCTTGTTTTAATAAAGTTTTATCGCTTACTATCAGCACGACTGTGTCATACGACGCGGTTGGAATTAATGAGAAAGAGAGAGAGAGAGACAGAGAGACACAGAGAAAGAGATATGGTTGGCCGAACGCTTGACGCATTACTGAGTTACTCTGTCCAAAGACCGGATCTTGTACCTTCGACGGGATACCTGAGGCAGGTCCCATAAAAGAAAATCTCTCGACAGGATTTTAACAAGTTTAAACAGGTAAAGGGCAAGGTAGGGATAGCGATTGGAACGGCAGGTAAGCGTGTCGGATATATAAGAAATCGTATGCGCGTTTGCCGCCGCGCCTGTGTAGAATATCAAAATTAATATTCTAATATTAGAATTAATACACAATCAATTATGTTACTCGATCGATATTATATACGTTATAAGAGTTATTTAACCCTCAATTAGCACACCTCGATTGGACCACCTCAAATGCCACACTGCTGGTGAACGAAAAAAAAGTGGTGCGAATTAGCACATGTGTGCTAATTGAGGATTAACAATATACAAATATTGCTTTTTTACATTGAATAAATTTTCTAGGTCAATTTATCTTGCGTCTATCTCATAAACTCTCACAAATTCGTTTATCAAACTAATTCAATCTCAAATTGAATTTTCATCTTATCAATGGTCTTTCTACTCTGTTTGTTGATGCGTAAGTCATTAAGTTTAATGGAAGGAAAGTTATTTCATTAAAGAGGAGTGTCCGCGGTGAGATTTGAAATATCGCTTTGCCTAGACTGGCTTAGAGTTTTCTTTCTGCGACGAGCAACAAAATAATGGCCGTGACTACTCAATATACTATTCTTAATGGCCGTCAATTGTGAAACATCTCCGTCAATTGCGCGCACTAGCAGATTATTGCTCGGCTCCACCCTTTATTTCCTGACATCGCCCATTCGCTCATCCTCGTCGATCGATATTGTCGGACGCGTTTTCCCACAAGTTTCAGTTTAATTACTACGATCAGCAGTGTAGTGGGGGGCGCGAGATACCGATGAAGTTTAATACGAAGCGGTGGAATGAGCACGGCGTTCCATATTTTAATTATAATTTATCTATACGCTATTTGTATTTTAATCACCTTTACACGTTTTTCTCGCTTTGGGCGATTACACTCTGCAACTCTGACTTGGTGGAAAAAAAAAACAAATCACGGAGTGAGAGAAAAAAAGTCTCATAATTATCTCTGAGAAAATTTAATGCCTCCGTTCGTAAGTATGCCGTTTAATCGCGTCGACTCTTTACATTACATCTCAAGTAAGATATAGAGGTACTCTTTCATGAAAGGTAAGAGACGAATAATAGAACCGTTACCTTATTTCTTATATGAGATACGCGGTTTTCAATGTGACACTGCCACTCCAGGACGCGTAGACACAGAAGCTGCCAATGTAGCTCCAATGACGTTACTATTCCCAAAGGCGAGGATTGCTGTTTCTTCTTTCGCTGCTGTTCCTGCTCCTGTTGCTGCTGCTGTTGCTGCTGATGCGCGAAAACTTTGTCTCCCAATTTGGCAACCGATCTGACGATACGCCTGTGCGCCTCTATATCTCGTTGGAGTACCTGCGTAAACAGAAATTACCTTTCGATTAAGAGAGAAAAATCAACAGGAAAATCGAGATATTTGCAGATTTTAATTGATCTCCATAGATCACAACGTCTAGATCTCACGTCCAGATTCTACATCCGCAGGTAGCTATTAGAAAACGCGAAGCGTCTAACAAGTAGTTACGATCAACGACACCGATGATGATTAATAATGCGAGGCGAGGACCAGGCGGATAGATATGCCGATCGGTGTCCGGCGAGGAAAGTAAGCGCGCGGCTTTAGGAAGCGTGTACCGTGCAAAAACATGAATCGACACCGAGCGCACGCCAACCAGGACGTAAAGTTCGCGCGTACACATAAAAGAAACGCTTAAAATTCTTTATTACTTCCGCGAAGTGAGTCAAGCCGCCGAGTCGTTGGTCGATAAGTCCAGGCTCATTTTCTCTCTCTCTCTTCTATCTATATCTATACTTCAAGTTAACGCGCGCGCGGTATCCTAGCTCCAGATCGCCCAGCGCTTCGAAATCTCCTCGGGAGACAAAGGTGTTGGAATATCACCTCCGTCCACCGTGGCCCGTATTAGCCCACTTTCTCTGATAGATTGCATATGATTATGTGTGATTGTTCTACTTATCTCGCGGTACGACGCCGCGCCGCGGCCGGTCGTTCCGCGAGCAAGTCTGTATCGCAGTTTGCTTTCACGCGGCGCGCACTTCTCGTACGACCGACGCCGCTTCTTTTTTATCTTTCCTTTTTCTCTTCCTTCCTTTTACGTCGCCTCATCTCGTTGTCAATTTCTCATTCGAACAAAAGAAACGGCACAACGGCGACGGCGAGGAACCAGGTCTCGTTATATGAAAGCGCGGAATATCTCCCCGACAGGATGCGAAGTGCGTGCACGCATAAATCAAGCTGCTCAGCTTGGACGACTCTATTCGCGGAACCTTGGCTATTTTGCTATTAGAATCAGTCCCCGTGGGAATAAAATCACGGATTACTGGAATTTTTGTTTATACATATTTACTCTCTCTCATAATACCGCGAATGCGCCCTACGACACGAAGGTGCGCAGAATCAGTGTAAATGCGCACCGACAATCATGATGAATCTTACGCTTTTAATTGTTCATACGAAACATTGAATGTTTATTATGTTTTTATCATTAGACAACTTTACAGTAGTTTTTGCATGAGCGCATTAGCGTAAGCGACCGAATTTGTTATATATTTTTATGTCAAATAATTAATTCAATATAAATTGATGTTATTTTCGATCTTGGGCATTTTATTTTTCACGTAAAACGTTTGATGCTTCGTATAAAAATTTAATTATTATATAATATTATAATATTTCTGATTTTAGTGTCATCATTATTATAAAACATTTAATGTGCAATTCGTGCCAGTTACAGGTGCTGCACCGTCAGTTTTGAATTTAGATACGACACGCACGAATATGACAAAACTTATCAAACTTATCAATAGAAAGAGTTAGTATATATCGTAAGAAGGGGGATATCGGCATATCTTGTTGATACCGAACGTTTCGTCTCATATTATATGAAAATGCAAGAAATATCTTGACGGAGATCGGCACAACTTTCCGTCGACATTCCGCCTCGAGCGCGCGGAATGTATATATGACCGCATGCGTGGAATGTGATAAGGAACAAGTGGGGTGGCTCGTGACAAAATGTGTGCTAAGGAGGCCGTAAAGGAATGAAATCTATCGCATGCGTTACGCCGCGATCTTAGCAGCGGGCGCGCTTTAGCTTTCATGGGAAAGTTTAGCGACAGATATTAAAGAATCGTAAAGAGCGAGTTGCGCCATGCATATACGTGCGTGCGTGTGTGTATGTGTGTATACGTATGCTGAAAAGAGAAACACGACCAGCCTTATCCAAGGTAGGGTGTAATTTATAGTTGAATCCATAGCGAGACGCAGCTGCATGATGTCAAGCTGCCGCGTGGAACGCGAGACGGGGAGACGCTGCATCGGTGGCGGTCCACGAATGCCGATTGCCGGTTGTTATTGACATTCAGCGATACCGCGGTAGTTTCACGCCACGGAATGAAATATGTGACGTGTGCTACCAGTCACAGATTATTCCGCTTATCTATTATATTTGCAATATTTGCATATATAACGGACAGATATATTCGCAGATCTACGCTATATCCATTTTTTCTTTTTTATAGCAAAGGTTTATATACCATCCGGGGGGGGAAAAGAAAAGCTCTCAAGCGTCTCAAGAAAGACGGAAAGGATCTCGCACGTTGCGATTGAGATCGAGAAAATTGCGGAAATAAATCGGGAATAAAATTTATAGAATGAGAAATGGAGAATGTGTAAAAAATTGGAAAGTTATAATAAACAAAATTGTGTAACGAGAAAATTATTTCCCGCACGAGTATTTATGAATGAAATATGCGTGAAGAGAATATTCTTTTCCCGAGATGGAAATTAAAAGCGGCTGGTCTTTCCAGCTCCTCGACTGGTTTCTATCCTATACTTGTCGTCGGCTCATCTCAAGTTGAAGGTCCCGACGTTGACGTTGGGGCAACAACCTTGGTACGTTGCGGCTTAGAAAATCCATTGCGTTGGAAAAAATCAATGTGAAGGTCAACCTGATCACTTTTCCTTTCGCCAATAACAGCTTCGCTCACGACGAAACGTCGTCGCTATTTTTACGGCATCTATATCTTCGTGACAATGACATCGTGGAAAGCATTACGCGACGCGTAACAGGAAGCAGGTTGTGCGGGTGAACGTAACGCATGACGCTATAATGTCATGCAAGATGCGGGCTCTCAAAGACACGCGATGTGCCTGTCTCCCAGACAGTCCGTAATCCTGTCGCGCGGCCAGTGATAATGTGTCCTTATGTCGGTCGACGATGACGAGTGAAACGACCAGCCGGCCGCGGCGTGTCGAATCACGCGAGAACCCGCGGCGATAGTAAAAGTAGATAAGAGCGATTCTATGCATTGAATAATTCAACGAACCTGATATTAACACACGTTACGAAATTAACAATCATTATTGCGAGAGACATAATTGAAATTTCTACGTGACGAAATGGAAAATCTGTGAGATTCCGCCGAGGCGGAGGCCTGACAAATTAGATTTCTACGTGATAAAACGGAGAATAAAATCTCGACGGCGCGCGCGGCGATCAGACAAGTCATAATGTAGTGTTACGCTTTACGTTTTAATCGAAAGCGCCAGGGTCTCGAATACCCGGAGTATATACGAGTCTTGGATGAATTAAATTGATAGTGGCGTGGCGCGGATATGTTCTATTATCTAATACACGCGATATAACGCGATATATCACGGCGGCGCGCTTGTCAAAATATTGTCGGCTTATAACGTTAGAACTTTTACGTTGCACAAGTACAACGTTTCGGTTTTCAGAGCATGACTTGTCCGTACACCGTTCGCGTTCCGAGCGTATCGGTTTCGATCGATGGAAAACATACCGTGGAGATCACGCGGTATCGTGACTAGCGAAAAATCGGGACGATATCACCACCAGAATGGAGATTAATCTGAGACGAACGAGCGCCGATAACTCTCTGGGCGCGGCTGTACCTTCGAGCGATTCGAAGACCGACGCTGGCTGCTGGATCGCTCAAATTGTTTCGAAGAATAGATCAGCCCATGATAGGTTCTCTACATAGGTTCTCTACTGGGTGTTCCGGCTAAAAATGGGGACATTTAAATACTCGCGTTATTCGATCACGTTAAATCGTGAAAATTACACTTTTAACTTTTATAAAAGTTTTCATAAAAGTTTGAAATAGTAAAATTGTTTTAAAGAAAATTTCGTACTTTGGTATATTCCGTGGTAGCGAAAACAATGATATTTTATATTGTTCTGGGAACAGTTCTTCCAAGTTCTCTTTAGAAGCAAGATAATCTGCTCAATTATATATAGCCAAGAAACTTTCCATCTTAAAAAAAAAAAAATGTATATTCTAATTCCCATTTATTATTTCAGAATTTCTATATTAGTTATATATACGGAAGATAAAGAGTCTTTCGTCGAGAACGCCCCATATATTTCCGACCAAGTCGCAGAAGAGCGCTGTTATTACCGTGCCGCTTCTTTCAATCCAGGTTGAAAGGCTCTATCGAGAAATCTCTTTCGGCATACAATCTAATCATGATTTATCGACACGCTCTGTACGATGAGTAAGACTGTCTACTGCCACCGCTTGGAGAAAGTTAATTTGTCATTACTGTCATTATGTTTTGCCATGTAAAATTTTTTCTTCACCATTTTTATGCAATTTTCTTTTTTGTTAACGTCCCCCAGATAAATTCTCGCGCTGCACCAGGAAACGATTATTTTTCAAACGTTGCCTTATACGGTGCATCTCCATCGACGAACGGTGCGAGCGCGCCAATATTCATTAAAGCAGTTAATGTCCTGTTAAGAGAAGGACTCCTCCAATCTTCATCGATTCACGAGGCAGGATCAAGTTTCTACTTTGTGTGGGAAAGAGAAAGTGTACACTCCGGTACTAATTTCTTCACCTCCGTGTAGTCTTGCGTTTATTCCTGAAAAACGATGTCACGGTACGTCGCGGTCTGTTATTTGAGGTCGCACTGGTAAACGTGGAAGGTTAAATCGCAGGCAAAACGTGGTAATCGTCTGGTCTGAGGCTCAGACCACCGGCACTTTGTGCGTTCACTAAGCGATTTTTACTTCCGTAACCAGCGGGACGTGCCGACGCTATCTAAGAATTCAAGATATACCCAAGGTAACTGTGTACAGCCGCTGCGGCGCGGTACACGGTAATAGTTTCGCGAGTCTAGCGGTAAGCCTCCCACACGGTATATTTTGCAACAGGCACGTAGAAAAATATACGGTGAATTCACATTCGTATCATTCGCGCATTTGGTATATTATTTTATCTCGGCAAAATCTTACGGTTTCTCGTTCCCTTTTACGTAATTTCCTTCTATTACATATTTTTTTACTATATCTAGAAATTGTAACTACTCC